AGTAGTAGTAATAATAATATATATATATATATATATATATATATATATATATATATATTGACAATTTTTCGTAAATCATAAATAGATACAAGAAAACAATAAATTTTATGATCAATGTTATGTAAAAAGATATCAATTTTTTTATTCTTTTCTTTCTAACATATGTACATCATATCATATCGTATCATATAAGTAGCATTAATCCAACGATATCAAATGTTTAATTGTTACATATTTATCAAAGATACGAGTATTTGGGAAATACTGGAAGATTGGTCATTACTCCTCTAACTGATCGATGTTACCTAACCTTAACTGGGGCATTGCACTTGAAATTCGGTGGTGCACCGGCTGGCCCTGCTGGGACTGGCAAGACGGAAACGACAAAAGATCTTGCTAAAGCATTTGCTATACAATGTGTGGTATTCAATTGTTCCGATCAATTGGATTTCATGTCAATGGGAAAATTCTTCAAAGGTCTTTCAAGGTAACTTCATTCAGGATTAATGCTTTGAATTCAAGAGAGTTTTAAAACTAAAGCATTTTCGACTTTCTTATTTACTTTTCATTAACTGTTAATTATTTAACAGTTAAACATATATATTTTTATTGAATATTAACAACTATCTATCTATCTTTCACAATGAAATGACTTTATCAATTATATTATTATCAATGAAGTATATATAAATATAGTTTCATTGAAATTTATTAATTGTAAATTTCATTAAGTTTCATAATGAAAATATCAGTTTTCTTTTAGCAAACTCGTAAAAGCTTTCGATTGGTTGTTAATGTCAACTTCATTATCATATTCATGTAATGAAAATGCAGTTTTTCACAGATATTGCATTTGTTAATTATTATTTATTATCTCAATTATTTCTTGTAATTTGTTCTTTATACTTTCCATAGTAATTTTTCATGTTCTTGATATTAATTCTCGCAGCGCAGGTGCATGGGCGTGTTTTGATGAATTTAATAGGATAGACATCGAAGTATTGTCCGTCATTGCCCAGCAAATTATGACGATCCAGCAAGCGCAACAAATGCGGCTTGATAAGTGAGTATATAAATATGCAAGCAACATTTCGTATATACATCTGTATAAAATATCGGATATAAAATTATTCGAATGTAAATTCCCAATCTTTGTGTCGCGACTCAAAGACTCATGAAGAAGGTCACTATTATTTTTTACATACTCATTTCAATATAATAACATTCTTATATTTTACGAGAATATTAGAATTTTCTCTAGCTATTTAACTCAAAGGGAATGGTGTTAACTCGAACAACCTGTGTTCATTGTTTTTAATTTTAAGTTTACTTTATACATAAAGAAAGAAGATTGTAAATTTGAATTATGAGTTAAAAAAGGACTTGGAAAAAGAACTGGTATAAAATATAACAATGAAATTTTTCAGATTCATATTCGAAGGAGAAGAAATTGTTTTAAAGCCGTCTTGTGCGGTTTTCATTACTATGAATCCTGGTTACGCGGGTCGAACGGAATTACCAGACAATTTGAAAGCTCTGTTCCGCCCAGTCGCTATGATGGTGCCGGATTATTCACTGATCGCTGAAATTTCATTATTTTCTTACGGTTTCTCCGATGCAAAAACTTTGGCTGGAAAAATAACATCGACATTCAAATTGAGCTCGGAGCAATTAAGTACACAGGTGAAACATATAGATATACTACGACAAACAGTTTTTCATTACAAAGTTTATTTAATTTGGATAATTCTTTTATTTACACAATAAACTTCTATATCTATTTTTTTTTCTTTTTTCAGAAATGAAAGAGAAAGAGACTCATTCATTCTACGTTTGTTTATTTTTTCGTGCAAAATTTTTGGCTATTAATTGAGGCATAGAGTTATTATTTATACACGTACAGTTAGAAATTCTAACGTTGATTTATTTTTATCCAGGATCATTATGACTTTGGAATGCGAGCGGTGAAAACAGTTATTGCTGTGGCAGGAAATTTAAAAAGAGAACAAAAAGATTTGAACGAACAACAGATTTGTTTACGTGCTCTAAAAGATGTAAACGTTCCAAAGTTTTTAAAAGATGATCTTATATTATTCAATGGTAACTATTTTTTTAATAATTTTTATACATTATATTTATTTGTTATGTAATTTGAATATTTCGTAACAAACAAAAAAAAATGTATTTATATAATAGAATTTTTTAATTATTATAATTCCCAAAATTTTATATTTTCCTCATTAATTTATATAAAATAATTCCATAATTCAGAACGAGTATATATATATATATATATATCTTCATTTTATTCAGGTATCGTATCCGACCTATTTCCTCGTTTGGAGGAGAAACCAGTGGACTATGGAATTTTGGAAGCAGAAATTCGCGCAACAAGTTTGAGAATGGGTTTGGAAGATGTTGACGGTATATATTTCGTTCTCTTTAATTCTTGTTTTCTTTTCTTTTGATTTTCTGAATTAATAAAGAATTATTCCTTTTAATGAATTTTCTGATCTATTTACAAGGTAAATTCAAAAAATAATTTCCGCAATGAAATATTCATATTCTTTATCTTGATTTTTTTAAATTATTATGTAACAACATAATATTTATACTTTCTCTAAGTTTGCGTTATAAACACAAGGGATATCGTTGCGGTAGTATTACGTATCAAAAGATTTACTTTTCTGGCTTTATGATTAAATTCATTAAAAGAGAGGAGATTAAAATTAATGCTACAGTTATATCGAATTTTAAAAAGATCTTATTAAATCTGAATAAATAGAAAAAAAATATATTAACATTATCCTCTATCAATGAACACTTTTTCTTTGATTGCACTACTGTATCATTTTCATTAATATATTCATATTTATATTCAATATATTTAAAAATATTGAAATTAATTCTACTTCACATGGACAGCATAATAAATTTTCAAGTTTAAAGTGTTTTGCACGAAAGAGGATGTAAATTGAAAAATTCAAATTGATATCGAAAATTATTTATAAAATATTCCTGATGAGTTTTGAAATAAAAAGAATGTATAAAATATATAGTATTTATAGCATAGTATATATCTATAGTATATATCTATAGCATAGACCATTTTATGGTTCGCTGTTTTTATAATTTTCAAATTCGTGACAATTCGCAAATTGTTTCCTAATTCATAAACTCAACAACGATGTAACGATTGAAAAAACATACATCTGGCATAAGGAATGTATTCTTTTGTAAAATACACAGTAGTGTAATCTTTTAATGGAATTTTATTTGAATTTAAAATGTTTCATTAAACTTTGTCTTTTAATTGCAGCATTCGTGAAAAAAGTTATTCAATTATATGAAACGACAGTGGTAAGACATGGATTAATGCTCGTTGGTCCAACTGCGTCGGGAAAGACAAAGGTAAGTGATATTTAAATGATATTAGGTGAAGAATTAATTTGAATTAAGCTTGCAAAACATTTTCTCGTATTAAGTACATCATTAATAAATTATAAATTGGCAAATTGAACAATGAAAAAAAATTAAAATGAATATATTTTATATTCTATAAATTTATTATTCTATCATAGAATAGTGAAGAACTTATTTTTAAGTAGGTTTAGATAATATATAAAAAACAGAATCTATCAGAAACTATCTAATTAAATATCTTTTATTGAGTATACTATATCAAACAGTTGTAACAATAACTGAAATAAGCAATATTTTAAATAAAAAATAGTTTGCATAATATTTAATTAAACAAAGGTGAATTTTTAATTGAATATAAATTTATATTTTTTTCCTGTTCTTTATATAAAGAATATATTTTATTTCTTTTGCTTTTTGATAACACGATTTTACAATCTTTAAAAATACTTCCATTTCTAAAACGCATATATATATATGTTGCATGCACTTGCTATCATTTTTTCTAATGCAATTTTTATCTGTTCTCTAAATTTTGAGAAACTCTAGATTAACTCAATTACAAAAAAATATCCTGTGTAACAAATATCGATTTTAAAAACATATACCTCGTTTATTTTAAAAATAAAACATAATATGTGACAATTTAAAAATCCTTGAAATAATATGCAGTAATTCTTATAATATGTATGCATTATGCATTTCCATATATTTCAATCTCGTGCAACCAAGTAACGTAATAAAGTAACGCAATGTAATTTAAAAATAGAAATAGAATTCAATTTTATTTAACAAATTTAAAAAAAAGAATATCAATATGTAAATAATTATTCAAAATAATAACCAAAAAAATTTATCTATTTAATAATTTTTTCTTGTAGATTCATTATAAAATATATCTGTTAAATAATTATTTTTAAAAATATGAATTATTTTTTTATTAATATACGAAACCGAATTGAGTAGAAAGATTTATCTATATGCTAGTTAAAATGTAACCTTAAATCTGGATAAATCTTCAAAATCAATTTTTGAATTATTTTTTATATTTTAAATTGATCATAGCTTTTTTTTGAATATAAAAAATTTTTCCATCACTTGTATATTTTTATCATTTTCAGTTTGTAATTGACAATAATCTTTTTGAAATGTCATAAAATATTCGTGACAAATTCAATGAAATATAAATGTATACATATAGAGGTAGATATATTTGAAAAAATAAATTGGCATGTTAAAATTTTTTCGCTTTAACAAATTCAATCAATTTTAACGAGTTTGCTACAATAAAAAAAAAAAAAAAAAAGAATTAGTTATCCATGTCAAAATTCCGTTGTAATAAACATTGATCAATTTTTTTTAAAATAAAATTTTTTCTTATGATATTTCAGTTATATTAATCGAGGAAAAGTTTCTTAAATAGAAAAAAATGTTTAATAATTCATAGTAGATAAAATATTTTATGTTGTAATACATTTCCAAAATCAATTTATAAAAATACGAATTAATATCATATTATTAAAAAATTTTTTATACTTATTATTATACTTATTTTATTTATTATCCTAATTTATTTATAGCTATTTTTTTTATATCTATTATAGTACATATATTTTCATTAAACAGAGAAATCTGAAATGATTATTTTTCTTTTAATGGCTTTATGTTGTATAAAAATAGAAAAATAGTTGTATATAATTAATTTTTTTCATATTTTTATTAAGTACCATTAAAAATAGAATTTGATCGAAAATAAATTTGAATTCGAATTTGGATGTAATAATAATTTTTTTTAATTAACACAATTAAAATATTACCAGGAATAATTTTTATCATAATTGAATAAATATTTATGGATCATAAACAACAGATCATAAACAAAAATCATTATTAAACACATCAATCAAGCGTCCTAAACAATTATACGATAGAATATCGATTTAATCAACGAGTATTAGTTATAAATGAAATATATTGTATTTAAAAATACACTAATATATGAAAATTGTCGATATTATTTGTAATATCATCTGACAAAGCTAATAATACAGTTACTTATATTGGATTATTGAATAAAAATAAGTTTATAAAAAAATCAATTTTGTATATTTCTCTATTTTTCTTTTTTATTAATTTTTTTTCTAAAAATTTTTAACAATTTTTGACAATTAATACTTTAAGTATGAGAATTTATTTGATAATATTTCTTAATCTATAAAACACGAAAAAGATTCAATTCTTTAATCTAGTGTACTTACCAATCATATGTTGAAATGACAGGCTTTTATACATTCAATATTATTAATTTTTTAATGCTTTTTTTGCTTTTCATAAATAAATTGTATGATAGATAATATTTAATAGTTTTTTATTTCATATAGGTTAGAATAACATAATTCCATAAAAGTATAGTAAAAAAATAACAAAATCTATGATTTTTCAAATTTAAAATTTTATATTTTAATCATAATTATACATTCTAAAAAGATCAATTATCACTATTTTTAATAATTCTATTTTAGCAATTGATTTTCACGTTTTATATTTTTGTCAACGAATCGAATATCCTTATGTTTATTAAAATCAATTAGTCCATTGCAAAATAAGGTTAAGTTAATATATTTTATCTTCCCGTATCATTTTATATTCTTTTCATGTCTTGTAGTACATTTTGAGTGTTCAGTAAGGATCAATTACTCACATCTATCAAAAAACGAAAAACTATAAATAGATATATGTAATTTATGACTTGGGTAATAATTAAATTATTCCACTTAAGTTTAGTTTTTTGAATATCTTATATTTAAAAGTATTTGCAGCCTTATATTTAAATTTTACAATTATTGAAATATTTACAATAAAAACTTTTATATTATAATTTCTATAAACTAAATGTATATTATTCTACTTTAAAAAATAGAAATAATTTTTACAATTAAATATCAAAAATGAAATTATGTTATGATTTACATAATTCGCATATTAAATAAGAAACTAAAAAATAAAAATATAGATTAAAAAATAATAACAAAATTTTTAATTTCGATTTTTCTTATCATAGAAAACGTAAAATATTATCGAATAAAAATAAAAAAATTCAAATTTTTCGATATTCGTTTTTTTTATATTTATAACAGCAAAGAAATCCAATACTTTAAAAACTTTTTAGAATTGCTATAAATATATAGAATTTTATTAAAATAGACATTGATTTGATTAGATTGATGAAAGAAATGATATTTTTTTTTATAATAAAATATTTTTAAAATTGTTACTTTTAAATTATCAAACGATTGATATATTGCACATTTAATTAATCTGACTCAAAACATCGATCAAACACCAAGTTTTATTTTATTTTTGTCATTATACATTATATTTTTATATTTTATTTATCAAATTTGTCAATATTTTGTTAATTATGTTGTTCATCAATATAAAATAATTTATAATTTAAAATAATATGATCCACTAGTGAAATATCAAACTTTTAACAAATTCTTTTCTTATAATTTTATTATATTAAATACTATTATGTTTTAAAATATATTCCATTTGTAAAATTTGTTTCCGTTTATATTTAGAGATTTACAAATATGTAATTAATCACACTTTTTTAAAAAGTGAAAAAGCATTAAATTCTTAAAAATGAATTACTTTCGTTGTTATTGGTGTGTGTTTTATGTCACATCAATTATTTCATTATTAATGACAAAAATGCTTTTATTATTTTTGAAGTTTCAATTTTTTTTCATATTTTAAATGCAATTTCAAATATATCGAACAATTAAATATAGATTGAAATTGTAAAAGATAACGTTCATATACGTCAATAATAGAAATAATTCTAACAGCTAATTATTTCTGTACATGTTAAAAAATTCTTATTTTTTATTCTTTATATGGATCTAGAAATTAAATTACATATACAATAGTAGTAAGATCATTACCTATTTGAAAGCACAACATTCGTGTATTATAGTGCAAAATAGGCAATGATCTTTTATTTACCGACTCTCTTATTATTAACTTTGTTAGAATTTTTTTCTAATAATATCTAAATATAAATATACATAAGTATATTTGTCTTTTATTTATCTAAATTATTACAAATAACCACGCATGAAAATTTTTTTCTAACCTTCGACTATTATTCATATTATACATACAAAATTTTGAAATTAGTCTATAATATGAATAATTCTCATTTATGCAAATGAAATAAATCTATCCTATTAATCCAACAATCATCAAGCATTCATAGAGATTTGTACTTACTTTATTCTTTTTTAATTATTTCCTACTTCATAATATAACAACATAAAATAATCGAACAGCAATTACGCGAATATGAGATCACTGAATAATACATTGTTCACTGAATACACGTTGAAAGAAACTAATTGTACTTAGAGTAAATCGGTTATAATTTTCATATTCCCAGAAACTCTTATTCATAACCTACATATGTTATATATAATCAGCGTTATAAATGACCGAGACGTGATCTTTTTACATATCGTTGGAGTAGTATATTCAACCACGTGACTGAAGTGCCATGATGGTCACGTGATCACGCTTTCTGAAATTGTGATTCTATTACGATTGCCCAAAAATTGTTTCTATAATTCCTATATGTATCGTTGCGGATTGCAATGATATCTGGTCATGCTTTTCAATATTTTGCGTAACAATTGCTGTAAACAACGTCGAAATGTAATACCACACATTGCATACAATAGAAAATTGATACTGAAGTTGGTATAATAAAGAAGCATGAAAAATTGTTGTATACACCAAAGCAGGTCAGGTGTATTTTTGCGGGCGAGCGTGAAGAAGAATACGCATAGCCGTATAACATAACTGGAAAATAAAAAAAAAATATATAAATATGTAAATTTAGCTAACAACTGTGAAATTGCAATTACAAGAATGAGAATTGAAATAAAAGAAATGGATTAAAATCAGATTAAACAGGTTAATAGCGGTAGAAAAGAGATCTTTCTTTATTTCTATATATT